CTTTATTGGGTGTGGTTTTAGAGACAAAACCTCTGGTATTTTTGTCACTTCAGACCTCCATCTAGCTGAAGTCAACTTTTTGATGCTGTTTGATCAGTTTTCTCAATGTGTATTGTGCGTATTTTGTCCCTAATCTTGCTCAGGTCAATGCTGTCACACTACAGAATATACAAGGATAAGATGGATCATCTGGAGTTTGAACTGGATTGGATTCCCTGTTCAAACAGAGTTTACGAAGCCTTAGGTCATGGCTTAACGGTCATCTTATCAGGTTGTGATGTTTAAGATTAAGTATCGGTGGCAGATACTGAGCTGTGTGACTGCTGAATGTTAAAAGAGCAGTGAATCATGATCTTCATCGCGGTCCGTTTATGGCAGCAAAAGAATATTGCTGTAAAATGCCCCCAAATTATTATTTGTCCACCAAAACAAAACAAGGAAAGGTTACTTACTTCACCTGCCTGGGTTTGAAATATTAAAGCCTCACTGAGCCACTATGTCGCAGCATAAACATGGGATTAAACTGTTATGAAGTGAATTCAGCTTCTTGGATAAGATGCATTGAACAGCATGCAGTAACTACCGCAGATATTTTTTTTTAAATTGCAATATTTATTTCAATGGACTTCAAATGTCAAGGGAGCCTTTCGTCAGGGCTTTTTTGAATGAGAATCCCTGATGTTTTTGGGATCCTGATAAACGCATCCTGTGTAATTACAGGAGTCCTAAATTATAGGTTTGCAGGGAGATGGGGGGTAGCCAGTCACAGCTCATAATAATTATGGGGCACAAATCTAATGACTATCTTCATTCATGTTCCACCACAGGTCTCGGGCGAGTCCATTTGATGTGTATTAGTGTCAGTGAGCAATGGAGAGTGAAGTGGGAACATTGACAAACTGACACATACAATGACATATGGTGCAAGGATTACAGAGAGTTCTGGAAACACTCCAATTTGCCTTTGCTAAGCTACTGTTTATTATGGTACAGTATTACCATAAACACTGAGCAGACAGAATTCAGCAGATTAAGATGCATAGGCTGCATTTGAAGTTACAGTCGCAGATGGATAGAGATAAACTAGAATACTGATTAAAGCAAGAGTACTGGACAACAGTCCCAGGTCAACATTAGCAAGTTTGTGGATATTCTGACAAGTGTATTTATAACCAGTAATATTTTGAGAACTTCCATGAGGAATACTCCCATCACGTGGGAGATGGAATCACCCTTTGAATTCAAGTCAATAAATGTCTTGTTTCTTGTCTCACATAACGAGTTACAGCAGAGAAGTTCCACAGAGTCAAAGCTTACGAGAACCCAGTCACAACCTTGGCTAAAGACAGCAAGCATCTCCCAAGGAAGAAAACTAAAGAACCTGTTATCTCCTGAGATGATTCCCATGCACCATTTAGTCGTCAATGGCAGTGGTAGGTGTCAAGCACGTCACCTCGGACATGTTAATAAGCATGTTACTTTAAGCAAGACATGGTGGTTAGCATGGGAAGGGAAGCAGAGTATTTTAGTTAATTATTCTGACATAATTTAGAAAATTGCTCGACTTCTCCACATTGAGAATCTTTTTGTTATACAATTACAATGGGAGATGATTTTATTCAACTACAATTTGCTACCAACTTGTTGCATCTTGCAGTATCAAACAACAGTTCAATTGTTAGTTAGCCGGTGATGGATTCGAAACTCGTTAGCTGCCAGAACCTGCAAATTTGGCAACAGATTCTGAGAACTGATTGATAAGTCTGTCATTGCAGAGAATCTCAATATCAGGATCCCTTGTTTAAAAAAAATACAATTAATGAGTTCTGTGTAAATATTTTGCTCTCAACTGTGAGTGCTGGTGGCATAATTGGGGAAACTAGCGAGGAAGAATTACTGAACCCATTTGTTTGATGCAGATTAACTGATTCATTGGATTCAGCAGGATCTGAAATCCACCCGAGTTTATTGACTGTGATTTTACTTTGTAACAATAAATAATAATAATAATAATATGAGATGACAATCAAACAGAAAAGGGCAGAGGGAAATCCCGTTCCTGCACTTCCCACCCCGTCAGGATGTATGATTTACCATTTCAAACCATCTCCTCCATTGTCATCTACTGTGGAAATGCTCCAAAGACAATCTGCCAGAATAACCCACCACTGGCCTTGTCGGCTGCTGCCCTCTGTGTCTATCAGGATCCCTATCGGTAACCAATACACATGGAATACTCAGGGCGTCCCAGGTTAATAACACTGCCTATCAAACTGTCAGTGGTTGTCTTGGCAGCCCATTTTCCAGTGATTTTCCATTGAAAGCGCATCTAACTTTTCAGTAATTGCTAAAATCAAGTGGGCCCTTTATATTCATTTTTAAAAAGTAAATTACTACTTACACTGATGGTTTTCTCGTCCACATTTCAAAATGTATATGATTACACTTTTAGCCTTGGTTAATTAGCTTAAATTGTGCAAGTGCACAAACTCCTCCCCAGCTTTTGGGAGAATTCCATTTAATTGCATGAAGGCAATTGTCTTGGTGTTCCTTGTACTGCTACTTGTGTAATTACATTAAATCTTCACTTAGCGCTATTTCTGACAGCAAAATGGATGCTTAATAAAGGACCATTGTTACCATGAAGTATCTTACAAGTCTCTTTCGTTTTTTTAATAATAAACTAAAGGGCACGTCATGACATTGCTGGCAATATGATGACAGCAATTACTCCCTTTATCCTGCCTGTCACCAAGTTATTTTCTTCCTTAATAAAAAATGAGCATCTAAAAAAAACAAATCACACACTGAAAGAATTAAACTGCAGCAGATATGTTGACTCCAAGCAGACATGACAGCGCAGCACTGGTGTTATCCGAGTGCCTTATTGTAGGAATTGACCATTTACTTGTCACTTCAGCTCCACCACCAACAACAACAACTTGCATTTACACAGCGCCCTTCACGTGGGGTAGTGTCCCGGAGCGCTTGACAGTGGCGGGGTCTGACCCCGAGCGAGGGAGGGAGGGAGGGAGGGAGGCGGAGGGATTGAGTTCCAGAGTTTTGGGATGTCTCTAAGCTCTTCACAGCACATACTGTAAAGTGAATTGACTGTATTTTGGGTGAAACGCAGCAGCCAATTGCACCCAGCAGCGTCCCACACACAGTCGTGGATTGAGTGACCTAGTTATTTATTTTTGAAGGGATTTTTATCTCAGGAAAGCAATCAGCCAATCGACTAACAACTGGGTTCCTATTTACCGCTCGGTAAACAGACGAGTGTGGATTAAGGAAACTTGCCTAAGGTTCTGCCGTGTCTGGGAATTGATCCCGGGTCCTCTCGCTTGCGAGGCGAGTGCTCTAACCATCAAACTGCAGGACTCCTATGACAGTGGGTATTGAATCTTTTAAATGAGCCTTCATTCAGGGGGTAAGGCGATGGTACATTTAATGAGTTGAAAACCCTCAGACTGAAGTAATTATTAATACAGCAGTAATGAATCACTGGAAGAAGATCTGATGATACATTACTATATTTCTGCAGCAGAACCAATAGACAGGCGCTGCCAATCATGAAATAATAACCAGAAAACATGAATGATTAATCGCACTGTATCATGGACCCTATGGAGCTATTCTGCTCTGCTTGGGAAACGTACAAACTATGTTGATGAGTGCGACGCTCTCCTGTTCATTTTGCTCGGCTCAGTGCATTCGCCAATCGTTTCTTATTGTAATGACGTTTTTGAATATTTAATCACAAAGTGATCAAAAGTAATATAAAATTAGTAAATAGTGCCAAATGCCCCAGCGCACGGTGGATTTCTTACATTTAGTGAACAGGGTTAAAGAGTGTCATATTTTATGAATGACCTTGCAGACATCAGGGATTTGTTACATTTAGTGAACAGAATGAAATCACCCAATATTTTATGAATGACAAGTCACTGGCAGCGAGGTTAAGGCTGTAATTCTGCAGCTCAGTGGTTAGAGCACTCGCCTCACAAGGAGAGGACCTGGGTTCGATTCCCGGGCAGGGAGAAACATTAAGCAAGTTTCTTTACTCCACACGCCTCTGTTCGCCCAGCAGCAAGTAGGAACCCGGTTGGTAGTCGACTGGCGGATCGCTTTTCGGGAATAATAATTCAGTCAAAAAAAAGTAATAATAAATTGATCTCTCAATCCACGACTGTGTGTGGGACGCTGCTGTGCGCAATTGGCTGCCGCGTTTCGACCACAAAATACATAGTCACTACACTTTACAGTATATTCTGTGAAATACTTTAAGAGGTCTTGAAGACCTGATAAGGCACTATATCAAATGCAAGGATTATTATATTATAATATAACTGGAATGAAACTTCATATAGTCACGAAAGGATGGATTTAACACAAAATGTTTGTTCCCAGGCTATCTCTGACCTGCAAAACTGGGGAAAGATATATAACCCTTATACAACAATTGAGATCGAGATCACATATTAACCAATACCTTTTTTTTCAGCAGTTCATCACAGTCTGATGGAGGCTCAACTTCTTAGATGACATGAAAAAGGCAGAGATAGCATGAATCACAAATTCACCCAGTGAGTGTTTCACTAAATCAATAGGGATTAGCATCCTTTTGATTCCTCGATGCAAGTCTGAAACCGCTCCCTACCTTATCTGAAATTGTACCAGTGGACTAGTTCAGAAGAACTGCCCTCCTATACCGCTATTCTCTTCCAATTTCGGAAAACAAGCAGCATTGATCGAGCGGATCCATTGTAGAGAATACAATGGGGAAAGTCTGGAGCAGCAGATCAGAGAAAGCCAAATCATCAAATGGAGAAACTTGAGCATTGACACTGATACTATAACACTGAGCATCGAAGAGAGAAGAGGTGATAAATCCTGTGTTCAATCAATACTGTTCATAAAGACTGCAAATATTGTATGGTTTGCCCGTGGGTCAAAATGGTAACATGAGGAAGGAATATTGTAAAAAGGGCTGAACTCACCTGGTTTATGACATAGATCCCATAGTTGATCTTCTGTCTACGTAGAATAGGATGTAGATAATGGAGCCAGTATTTCAAGTGATGTTCCCTGTGCCGGAATGGGATTATGATGGCGACTTTTTGTTTGGCTTTGCAGTCTGACGGGGTGTATTTTCCTCCGTCCTTTACGTCCGGGTTCTCTCTCTGAACCTTCTGCATCGTCATCGGGGAGTTGAATTCGATCAACAACCGGCCAACTGCAACAGCATGTTTAAACAGAGGAGAAACTGTTATTTTTAAAGCAAATTTTCCAAATGCCATTCTCTCTTTGAGTTTTTCTGTCTCGTAGAAACACGGAAACGTGGAAACAGGAGAAGGCCATTCAGCCCCTCGAGCCTGTTCCACCGTTCTATAAGACCGTAGCTGTTCTGTACCTCAACTCCAATTCTCCGCCCTTGCCCCGTATCCCTTGATACCGTGACCTAACAATATCTATCCACCTCGTTAGGGGAATCCAAAGTGTTGTATTTCCAACATTGATATCAACCAACCTCACTGGCCACAACAATAAAACAAATAAAACACGATCAGTGTGTAACCACACAGCTCATCGCAATGTGGCGCAAATAAAAAAAAGGTTTATAATCCTTTACGAGGCAAATGTGCTTTCTTGAAAAATCCTTTGTGAACTAAAAATGTCTGGAGATATACAATTAAGGCATTTCAGCCAATAAATCTGTTTGGAAAATAATCCAGCATTTCATTACACTTTGAAACATGTAGCCGGAGGATGGAAGGGATTGATGGTGTCTGTACACTTCAGTAGATAGATGTTCTATTCTGTGACCCATTAGGGTGATAAATTCCACTGCACTTTTCTCATTGTCCACTTGATTCATGTGTTTTTAAAATAGTTTAAAATCCAAATTATGGAAAACTGGACTTGATGACATGATAATTACTTTCTCTCTCTCTGTATCACTGAAAGATTTTCGCCCTGCAGGTGGAAAGCTGATCTAAACATTGTCCCGCTCTTTAAACATCCATTGACTCAATCAATGTGATGGCCTGAATTATTGAAATATGAATAAAAGGAAACAAATCTTTCTAATATTCTGCACAAAACTCACAATGTTTTTTAAGGGCAAGTTATTACTCAAATGTTTCTTTTACACCAGCTCAGTGTTAGTGTCGGATCACTATCCTGCCTTGCAGTAAGCAGAAACCTGGTCGTTAGTCAATTAGCGGATCGCTTTTCTGGGGATACTAATTCCTTCAAAATAACAATAATAATAATAATAAATTGGTCACTCAATCCACGACTGCTGTGCGCAATTGGCTGCCACATTTTGCCCACAAAAATACACCGTCAATCCACTTTACAATATATTCTGTGAAGCGCTTTGAGATGTCTCAACAACGTGATAAGGCGCTGTATTAAATGCACAGATTATTGTTATTATTAATTACAATAACTGCACTAAAACTAAGTGCAATGGTGAGATTATACAGGATCCATTTGGACACAGAATGATAGAAGGGTTGTACTACAAAAGGAGGCCGTATGTCTCGTTGTATCTGTAATGGTACTTGCTATCTCACTGGAGCTATCTACCATAATCCTACACCACTATTCTTTCTTCATATCCCTTTAATATTAATTTGCTTCAAGTATTTATCTGATTTACTGGAACTCCCCTTGACTTAATCAATTAGTCCACAGACACCTAGGTCCAGGCACAGTAACCAATTTATGGCAATTAATTTAATCTGTAGTTAATTTAATCTGTAATGATCTGTAAGATTGAAATAACTTTCTTTCTGCTGTCTCATTTATCCCAGTCTTTCATATTGCTGTGTTGTAATGCCTGCAAACCTGACTACGAATTTAATTATCTTTCTATCACATAAACAGCTCTTTTCAGGATTTCATAATCTGTTAATATCCCATTAGCTGCCTCCTTCTGTATGTACTGAACTGAATTGTAAATGTTTAATATTTTCCTAACACCTTTGCTTGTCTGTCTGCTCCTGTTTTATATTAAATGTACGGTTTATTACTATCATTATTTTCCTACCGCTGAGCCCAACTACTCCAGATCAGCTTCAAGGTCACTCCTAAAGCATTAGCGTATCTTGTTATTTCAGTTGGTGGCTAACTTACTGTGTACTTCCAACATTTCTGTTTTCTTTTGATCTGTACTAAGTGATTTACTGCCAATTCTGTTTGGAGTAAAGATAACCCGGAAACGGCTGTTCCTGTTGCTTGTAAATTTCCCTCAACCCATTGGTACAATTCATCATTGTTACTGTTCCTTCTTGTTTCTGACCGTGGACTGACCAACCTCAACTGTAATAGTCAAATTCCCTGCAACTGTAACTCATCAAACTGCAGTTGGGAATAAACATCTCACATCTTTGCTGCCGAAAAACAAGTGGCAATAGTTTGGAAAGTGAAAGGCCTTTTTGAGAAACTATTGACTAGAAATGTGTATTGTGGGGTGGGGGGGGGAGGTTTTTTGGGGAGAAGAAACAGGATGCGTTTAGTCCCAAACCTCTTATGAAGGGTGCATTTTAAGAACGTGCTTATTCCACATTTCTTTCCAGTCGATAGATTGTTCCTTAATCATTGCTGACATTAATTAAGAAATAGAAATGGAACGGTTTTAGGAATAACCCCAGTCTCCTCCCTGTAGCTCAGTGGTTAGAGCACTCGCTTTGCAAGTGAGAGACCTGAGTTCAATTCCAGGCAGAGGGCGAAACCTCGGGCAAGTTTCCTTACTCCACACAGAGCCTAATAATAATCCTCCAAAACCAAAAACAATAATAAATTGGTCATTTTCAATCTACGACTGTTAGTGGGACATTGCTGTGCGCAATTGGCTGCCGCGTTCGCCCACAAATATACAGTCAATTCACTTTACAGTGTGTTCTGTGAAGCGCTTTGGGACGTCCTCCCGACGTGAAAAGCGCTATATCAAATGCGAGGATTATTATTATTATCATTGTTGTTAGCCTTTGATTACTGCTGAGGTCTTTTAGTTTGAATTTTAGTTTGAAGTCTATGTGTTGAGGACAAATTATAGAGTAACTGGTTTGCAAGTTACAAAGTCTGAAGCGAGACAGCTGAACTGAAACACCAGCTGAATCAGCCTGGATTAAGGACAGCATCTCGGCTGAATGTAAATTTAACTTCTTTTTTTGCCACGATCCAAATCTGTAAATTCTCTTTAGCACTGCGTCCGTGGACGTGATATAAAAACACATTTTTAGTTTCAAAAAGAAACAAACGAATAACCAGGATCGATAAAGGTCTTTTTTTTCGCGATTGCTGGGTTTTAAAAGGAGTTGCAAATGGGGGAACAAAATGTCCTCTTTACATAAATTAGTAGAAAACTTTGTGGAGGGAAAAAAAGAGACATGTAAGAAATGAATTAAAGGACGAGGCCTGAATTGAATCTTAATGATCAGAAGCAACGAGAGGCACGGAAAGAGACTGCTATCTGTTAAATTAAAAGCATCTAAGTGAAGTTGAATTATTTTTCTAATTATTCCTCCTCTCCACTAATTACATGGCAACAGTGACCCTGTACAAATCTTCAACCCCAGCACAGGTTTCAATTACAAGTCATTCCAATCATGAACATTGCATTCTGTCAGCAGATAGATATAGGCCAGAATCCACTGAATGGTTTATTCATATCCAGCCCTTCATAAAGCTGTTTAAACCAAAGCACCATTGTAGCCATTATCTGACTCTAAGGTAATCGCGAGGACATAGAATTTATCCCAAGCTACCAGCAATTCCTTTAGCACAGAATCACTCCCTTTCTGACCATTATGCAGATGAAATGGGGGAAGGGGGGGGGGGTCGGGAGGGGTCGGGTAATCACACTCCGCACATGGTATGAAAGGACAGCGTGGACTCTTTAGGAATATTAATTAGGAGGCTATTTCAGGTAAATGCATAATCAAGTAGCATTGGCACTTTGGATTTCCATTACCATTCTCTTTGGTTGCTGCCAATCTGCGGCTTTTACTGAATCTTTGGATTGTGGTGAGGGAAACAGTTTAGCAATCGCAGAAAACCTAAAGTGTGTTTGATCAGTGGGATTACTTTCCCTGTTGTTGCTCCCCCAATGCACTGGTGCTTGGAAAGTCTCGATATCCTTATATTTTGTTATGCTCCCCCTGCCACCACTTTTATTTTTGTCGTGTTTAGGGGGTTCTGACTTAAGAGACATTGACTCATAATCGCACATAGCTACTCAGCCAAGTACATGCACACAGTGTCTTAAACTGCAGTTCCTCTCGCACTGAGCAGGATTACCATTGCAACACATGATCAATAGGGTAAAACAACATTGCAAACACAGCTCACATGCCCCTACCCCTTCAACACATTGACTAATGAGACAATTTTTTCCTTCCTTGTGTTTTTTTTGGTCAGCTAAATCCATCACCATGCTTCAGAGCATCCAAACTACCCACCACCAAGCCTGCCAGAGGGTTGACTCCATTCCAACATTCAGTTGCCAACTACGTCATCTTAGAGGCAGCTCGTTAGGGTGACCAAGTGTCACTTTTTAATGCCACTTGTATAAGAGCCTTCAGTGGGCTCCACACAACACTCAGCGAACTCCCAGTCACAGAGCACTCAGGGAGGATCTGCAGCTGTTGCATATTCCCCACGTTTGGTATTCAGCAAAATTCATAAAATGTTCCAGCAACCCCTCCATTAGAGACAAGGGCCTGAACCCCATCTACAGTCTCAGCCCAATTCTTCATTCGAGCTGTAGAATCATCTTCCATCCGATAATGAATTGGAGGAAAAAGGTCACGGGGTAACCCTATCTGCCTCCATAAGTTGCAGATTATTCAGAACTCTGCAGCTCGTGTCCTCTCCCGCACCAGGCTCTGGGAACCTATCACCCCTGTTCTTGCCTGGCTTCACTGGCTCCCCATTTCTCAGAGAATTCAAGGCCCTCCATGGTCTTGCTCCCCCTACCTCTCCAACCTCATAACCCCATATCAGCCTGTCCACTCCCTCTGCTCGGTGGACACCGGCTGCTTCAGGTCCCTCGCACTTCCCGCCCCACCATTGGCAGTCGGGCATTCAGCATCTCTGCCCCCACACTCTGGAACTCTATCCCACAATCCCTCCAACTCACTCCCTCTCTTACCTCCTTCAAGTCCTGTCTGAAGACCTTCATTTTTGACCGAGCCTTCAGCCACCCTCCCCTCCTTCCGACCCCAA